CCGACTACGACGATCACGTACAAATGGGGTGAGGCTGAATTTCGAAGAAAAAAAAAACCCGATTTTTACCTGTTTATCTCACCAATTTTTAGTTGAAGCAACCGTCGTTTCGACTGTAACCACAGCCAAGATCGCCGGCACAAAGATTACATACTAGAAGCGAATTCTGTAATAAAATCCTTTTATCTTTACATTTGTGAAGTTTTTTTTCGCCTTACAATTTTTAAACAAAAGACACGTTGTAGCACGTGTTTCTAGAGTTCAAATAGCAATCAAAGCGACATTTTGTGGTGCCATTCGTTTTTTGATTGAAGCAATCAGAATGATTCAGAAACAGGATGAGTCAATCAAAATGATTGATCATTTTTCGAGCAAAAAAACATTTGAAAACTCCAACAAATGTGGTTTTTTCAAACAAACAAACAACCAAAAACAATTATTTTCTAGCAGGCAAAAGAGAATCTCGAATCTTAAACGATTTGCGTTTGATGGAGGCAAACTTGTCTCGATATTGCGCAGATCAATATCTGCTCTCAAATTGTATTGTCTATAACGTCTCTAATTTAGTCTAATCTATTGCCGACCTTCATGAAGCCTTTCTCTCCCCAGGTCTCGCCCCACGAGTTCTCGATGATCCACTAAGGGATTCCATTCTCTGTGCCTAAAATCAACAACATTTTTATTAGGCGGAATGATAGACTTTGTAAGTGTAAGTGTAAGTAAGTTGAATGATAGACTGTTAGCATACTACAGGGTAACCAATAAGTATGGAAACCATAAGCCTTTTTTACTTTTTTCTCTAATGGCGATAAGGACTATTCTCAATATCAAACTCTATTGACTATTCTCAATATAAAAATTACAAATATCTTTGACAAAAATAAATCAAAGTTCCCTTCAGTTCTCCAAAAAAATACAGTATAGCTTTTGCTGCAATTCATCAGAACCGATGGTAGCAAAGCTCTATTTGCCAACGAAAAGCTTATTCAAATAGAAATTAACTTGAATAAACCTAATGAATCGTTTACAAGCAAAACTTTGTTAAACATCACAGTTATTTCGGATTTCAATAATTTTCCGAAGAAATGTTGCTTGTTCGCCACGATTAATGCAGCCGCCAGTCACTTTCAGTTGCCAGACCTTGGCTTTTGTGTTCTGAAAATGCAATGTCTTTTTTAATTTAATTGATTGACCTGAATGTTGTAGCATCGCATGTCTCCGGTTATATGGTAGAGCGCGCCTATCTCCAGGTCGATTTGAGTTACAGCTACAGCTGAGTTTGCATCAGTCGTATTTTTTTGCAAATGAAACACACGTTTTTCAAAATTTTGACAACCTTTTACAAAGGAAAAAATGTAAAAATGTTCTAAAAGCTTAAAAAGATATGATAAAAACGTTTTCAGTCAAGACCAAAGTTTCTGGCCTTACACCAGTCCTGCCTGTCCTTTGCTCTATGGGAAGGAGTTCTGTTTAAAAATCCAAACTTCGAATCAAGCAAAATTCAAGGATCTTTCTCCAAAAAGACGCCATGGATATCAAAGTTAATCGAGAAACTGTCCGAATAATTGCTAAAAAAGGCCTAAACCTTGGTCCATACAAGCTCAAATAAAGACATTATCGGAAAATCTTTATTGGAACCAAGTTACAATACAGGAATGAAGAACAAATAACAGTAAGTTTAGTAAACAGATGATAGACAATATTATTTTAAAAATAGCCAAAACTACAACTCAATGATTTAGTGTTTTGCGACGAGTGAATCGCCAACGAAATTCTTGTCCAAATTCAGCAGAATACTCTTTGGCTTGTGAAAAAGTGAAATCCAGTGTGTCGAAGAGATCCAAATAAACATAATCTCAAATCCATTCATTAAAGAGCATTTTATCTTGTGGGCGTTTGCTTTTATCAACCATCAGAGTCCAATCAGCAGGCGACATGAAGAAAATAAGGTTTTGTTTGATGCGGCAAGATCTACTGAAAGTGATTGATTAGTCATGAATAGAAAGAAGCCTTTTCTCTATTGTTAAATTATCCAAACACCTACATAACCCAGTTCATCAATCGGCTGTAGGCATTCCAATTGGCTGCAAAATATCCACCTTTTGGCAAACGAAAAGCTAGATTTGTGATTTCCCAAGTGGTGATCAGAGTGGTCTCGAGAAAATGCTGAAAATAAGATTCCGTTAGTAACGTAATACTTGACACAAGTGGAAGTGGGGCCATTTTTTTGTTCACTTACGGATATTTGCATATCATCATAATTTGCACACTCGAAAATAACATTTTGGATTTCACACAAAGTAGTCGATTTTGGGTAACAATGATCCGGTATTTCAGCATTACCCACAAAAAGTGAGTTGTAGAGATCGAGGCGGAGATTCGGTCCAGGCTGAAACTCATAATCATTTATATGTTTCTTATTTTGGCCTATCTTACCAGCCAGTCAGTGTGCTTGAACGTCAAACGGTGGAAATTTTGAGGAGTCTGCGCTTCAGGATCT